CTTAGGCATCCTTCGTTATGGCAGGCTAAATAATTCATCTCCTTTTTTTTTTTTTATTTACTGTGTGCGTATTTTGCAGTTCATTGTTACTCCTCAACTATTGCTTAACAAAGCTGCACAGGTTTCGCAGTTTTAAATACAAGTTTCCAAAGTTTTGGTTATGGAGGAATGTTTTACGGGTGAGCTGTTGAAGGCTACACTGTAAAATTAACCAGCAGTGCAATACCTTATTTATAAAATTAAAACCAGGGGCAAGCAACGTGTAGAATGGCCATGTATCACCACGTCTGGTAGCAAAAGACCCTGTTGCTGTCACAGCATCCCTTAACTCCTCTTCCAGGGGATGCTGCAACTGTTAATGCCTTTAATGCCATGTGTAAAGGCTTCGGAGGCTTTAAGCGGCCTGTGGGATGGATTTTGGAAACCCAAACGGCTCCTCATGATCCACTCCTACCAAATTAACAGATGGCTCTTGCTCTGCTGCTCTGTGTGTATTTAATTTCGTTCATGAGATCGTCTGAGAGACACTAGGATCAGCCTGTTACCCCCGTCTCGGGTGTTGCCTCTGAGATCCCAAAGAATTGATTCATTTTCCTTCCCTGCCATTTGTAAAGTGAAATCTGTGTTTGCAGTCAATTACTGCTGCTTTTCCCAAGCAATATTTTCCCAAGAAGTACTTGATTAGGGTTTACTTGTCAGGGAAGTCAAGGCATTGCTACACATTTTCCCAAATAAAAAATTCTTGTTTTGTTTTCTGATCTGTTTAGTACCTTTTCTCTGTCCTGCTGGTATTTATAGCTTCGGCTGAACTAGTATTAGCTTTATTTTGTTAATGCAGAGAGAGTTTCCTTCAGATCTTCAGTGAGACTGTTAAACAGAACAAGCACACCATGTCTCTTTGGTGTTTCATAAACTTGCTCTTTCAGGGTAGATGATTTTTAACTGGAATGATCTAAGTTACCATTTTTTTATTTGAATAAGTAACCAGAAAGATCGTGTTTAAAATTGTCTTGAGAGAGAGAGAGAGATGTCTTAAGGAAAGGTCCATGTCTCTTTGAAAACCATATAAACATATTTATAACTTTAGACATTCCATTAAACTGCATTTTATGGCTAAAAAGGATAGACTACAGCTGTACCCATTTTTCAGAGTGGTTAAATACATAGTAATATTTGTGCCATTTCTTTACATTTTGTGTATGTTGGCAAGTCATGACTGATGCTTTCTTTTTTTTTTTTCATTTGGATGATTACTTGTACACCTGTGGGTTTTGCCAAGTTGGGCGAAACAGGCACTCAGTTAAATTGCATATACAGACTCTAATTAAAGCACTTTTAAATGGGATGAATACATAAGAGGGGAAATAAGCTTATCCAAAGCTGTTCTACATTCAAAATGATTAAGCAAAGGAAGTGTTATGATGTTGAAGGAACTGAGCTGATGGTTTTAAATATGGGAAGGCATCAATGAGTGAAAACAGGTAGATTTTGTCATTTTGCGTGCTCTTTCATACCTTCCCATTGCTCTCCTGGGTTCGAACCAATTGTTTGCTGAACTAAACTCATGGGGTAGAAGGTCGTTACAGGAATGTTCTCTGTGCATCTGTTGAGGATGCTCCTGTGAGTAAAACCCAAGTTAAAATTTACAAGCCCTGGTTGGTTGAAATGCTCAGACGCTCAAACAGCAGCTCCTGTTCAGGTGTTTGACTGTTCCGAAAAGTTCACCACCGCTGGTTTCTCTCGATTTACATCACCTGAAAAGGTTATTTATGACTTTGAATCAACTGTAGATTTTTTTCCCCCATGATATTAAATACATCTGTTTTAAAAAGCAAGATGTATTTAAATATGAGTCACTCTAAAAGCACAAAACAAATCTTGTGCTCTTCAGCCGAATTCACATCTTCAACTCTCAAATTATATCTCTGGCTGATCTAATTTGACAGAATTTTAAGTGCTACTTGGGGAGCTGCTACTTGAAAGGCTTTACTGTCATTCTCTGCTTCCAAGAGCTGTAACCCAATTTGTACTTGTCCTTGGTGACTGCAGGTTATAGCCACCCATGTCCAAGAGCAGATGCTGTCTTGGTACCTCCTCTTCGCAGAAATGCCACCGAGCAGAAGTGACTTCCATGCTGCATTCTTGGAGAACCTTTATATTGCATTAGCAAAGTGCCCAGGCCTGATAACCAGGGCAGGGACTGCAAATGCTGGTTGGATGAGGAGAGAAAACTGACAACCCATGTAATTTTATTTTTTTTACAAGTTTATGAAAAACTTTTTTTCAGAAACAAGTTTGTAAGAAAAAAAGCAGCAAAGGTTGACTTTCTTTTCCCTTTCTTTACCTCCTGGCAAGCACATTGGTTGGTCAATGCATTAAGTCCACGTTGATGATGAATCCAGTAGACATATGCGTGCTCACTTGTGCTGCAGTTTTGGGTCTGCCGAGGTTGCCAGACTATCAGGTTCATCTTGTGAAGATATAAACCTGCAAGTAATGGGATCAAGTAGGCAAAAGCAGATGATTAACTTGTCATATGTTGATTCCACTTGATGAACAGCAGCGGTGGAATAGTTATCCCGCAGCCTTATCCACGGCCAGATGTTTGAAATTTAATGCAGGGGGCACTGGGGAGGTCCAAAATAAAAGCAAGCTGCTGTCCTGGGAGACTGAAATCCAGCCTGTATGGGTCGGTAGACTGCAAAATAGCCATAAGCAGCATAGGCTGGTCAGGGCACGTGTCTGAGCAGCGTCCAGAGGGGGGAGAGGAGCAGAGCCCACATGGGGAGGGGGTAGCGCCGTGTCTGCCAAGGTCTGTTCTACTGTCACATACACACTGAGGGATCTGGCTGAGGCTGGCGGAGAGCATGAGAAAACTAGTCCCGTGGTGTAGATAAGCAGGCTTGGGCTCAAAAATCTGAAAACATGACTAATGAAGAAGCAATGAACATGGCCTTTGGGGTCACTGTCAGTCCTGCTTCTACAGGCTGTTATTTGCAGGGAGATGTAGGCGACACTTCTGTTTGATAAATCTTGGAAAAAAAGTAAAATCTATTTTACACTGTTTTTGTTTGTAGCAATGCTTTTACAGACATATTGCAAGCCCTTAGGGGAGAAAATGCATGGCAGCTGCTCGTACTACAGAATTAGACCAGTTGGAACCTCGTTATGATAAACAGCTCTTGACTCTAAATTGGGTAGAAGTCTTCCAGAGTGGGAAGGACGCTGAGACTACAGTGCTAAGGGGAGGTTAGCACTGGAACAAACAGTTTTTTCTGGGGTGTATTTGGCTGAGGTTAGTCAGAAGGATGTTCTTTGGTCATGGGTGTAGATGGGGTGTTGCGTTGGTCTACGTATGCTTCTTTTGCATGGGTTTTTTTTTGCCAGTTTTGTTGGATACATGAGACTAAGGGATACACAGGCAAAACAATGGATTTAGAGATCTGCTTCTTTCCATTAATTATTGTGCAGTGAGATATACGCTGTGTGCTAAGGGCTAAAGCAGGCCAAAGAACAGAGTGGAATGTTAGTCATAAACTAGAAGTGAAATACAGATTCTTCTTTGACGTCTTCATTGGCTGTCCTGGGTTGAGCAAGTTTTTCATAGCAAAATGTGCTTGCTATCTAAAGGCATATTTGTTTTAGGGTGCCATTAACACTATTACTAGGTTTTTAGCAGCCATAAAAAGATTTATATTCCAGCACAAACTGACGTTCTTTCTGTTTGTATTTTGCTGCAACTCTGGGGCTGATAATAGTGTCACAGTGTCTGTGATTATTCCATGACTAGTTAGGAAAATGCCTGCATTTAACTTTAAGGGAGCTGTTTGGCAGCGTTCTGTTGAACGACTGTAGCTACTACAGCAAGAGCTACCTCCTGCCTCTGCAAAGACTGATGGGTTTCCTGCTGCTTAGGTCAACAATGAAACTGGGGATGCACT